CAGCGTTACAGCAGGAAAGAGCCACAGACAGCTTAGTGTTGCATATCTTACATGCGTTAAAAAAAGTACTAAGTTATAATATAATAAACAATATGCTAAAAAAAGATAAAAAGTTACATCATTTTCAAAAATACAGATCCAAATCAAATCTACAAATCAAATCCTGTAGCAGTTCTTAGGATAAGGGTTAAAAGCAGACGACGTGTCCCAACATTGATCAATGAAGTAATCTATTATTAACTTGTGTCATCGTGCACTCTCACGTCGCTCTAAAATGAGGCGAATAGTAACGTGCTCACCCGTCACTTGTAAATAAAGTCGATGCTACGAAGGAAGTTCATGACAGAAGTTTAGCTCAGGACACTGTCATTGAACATCAACATCTGATTGGCTGATGAACCTGTCACTAATGCTTATTACCAATCAGTTGTCTTTCAACAACAGGCTAGCAGTATCTGTTGGGCCCCCACCAACTAAAATAACTGTGAGATGTTCAAGTGACTTTTTGATGTAGGAAATTCCAGTTCAGGCTCAACAAAACCTCACTTCATTTGAGATATAAGACATCAAACTAATAACAAGCTGCATTTTAAAGGTTTATTATGCAATGTGATAATGAGATGTTGTGCAGGACGGATATTAAAGGCTTAAAGCGTTGATTCCTGCCGGTGTTTGGGACAAAGTGTCCTCAGGGACAAAGTGTCCTCAGGGAGTCCTTTATGCTGAGAGAATAAGCTATATCTGCCAGTAAATAATATATGTATTCTGCAGGAGCCTGTATATATATTATATACAGTATGGAGCCTGTATATATATTATATACAGTATGGAGCCTGTATATGATATATATTCTGCATGTCTGTCAGCAGGCTGCAGGGTGTGCAATGTACCTGTAATCACTTTAACTTGCTATTAATCTTATTTTATCCAAATTAAATCACTTCCTATTTCACTTATCTTGGAGAAATGATAGATAAAGTACCAACTGCAACTCTTAGGGACGTCATGCTAATGTCAAATATGGATTAAAAGGTTGATCAAATATGAAAAACATAAGAAGTCGCATCCCATAGCAAGCATCTATATCAATTAAAATAGTGCCATGTGGAGAAATCTAATACATTTTGTAGTAAATATTAAGCTGAGAACTACACACACACACACACACACACACACACACACGCACGCACGCACACACACACTTCCTGTGGTGTAATGGGGCCGAGGCTCCCAGGCGAGGGTGTCAGCGGCTTAATTTACCCGCACCATTAGCCCAGTTTCAGTGTGGTAGTAAAACCTTCAGTGTGTGAGTGTGTGAGTGTGTGTGTCTTGTTATTGATCGAGGGCAGCGAGCAGACAGGCCTTATTTATCAGCTATTGATAAATGCAGTTTAATGGCGTTGTCCAAACCGTGTATTCTCCTTTTTTAAATGACGTTTTAAATGTCTGTGATCAATCGCTACACTAAGAGCGACTGAAATTGACATTGATCTAATTTTAATTACTGATTTACCTGCAGAGAAATGTAGTCTGTTATGGGGCGGTGTGAGTAGTGGGTTTGTAGTATGCATGGTGGAAGAATAATTCAGATCCTTTACCTATAGGTAAAAGTACAGAAGTATTATCAATACAATGTATTTAAAGTAAAAGTACTCGTTCTGCAGAAATATGGCCTCCAAAAGTTGTCGTTGTTGCGTCCAGTTGCATTTTACTGTTATGGAGAAATTATGCGTGTTTAATTCCTCCTTTTAATGCACAAATCTCAGTCTAAAAGGGAACTATAGTTGAGCCAACATCTAACTCCCTTCCCTTTTTAAATGAAGCGACCCTACGACTCCCAGTCCACCTCCGCCCTGGAAGACCATTCATAAAGCATCCAGTATTAATACCTTTTATAATCAACTTTTATCCTAATTATGAACACAAGTTGTACCCACTTTTTGAAAACGTATGGTTATTAACAGGCTATTGATGTAATACCGCTCAGTGTCCAGCAGAGGGCGCCATGGCAAATACAAGTTTATATCATTTCTATACATCTTCGTATCTCTAAATGATTTAGAGATGTTCCAAAAATTGCACCACAGCCCGAGCGTGAAGCCCGGGTGATGCGAGAGTGTTGATATGGTGTAAGCAGGGAGGCTCTCACTATACGTTCATTGAGCCTCCCGTTCCACCCCAGGACGAGGAAAGTTGAGGCGACTGTGATTCGAAGCTCTTTATTAAATGTCAACACCACCTTCACTCATGGTGTAAGATAACAAATGTTTTTACTTCATAGAATGGAAGATCACATGCTTATATGTTGGAGTTGTATCAAAAAACCTGTGAATTCTGATTATTTTGTAGGTTTTTTAACGTATTATCTTGGTTTAGAATCATTACCCATGATGCTTTGCAGGTCCCCATTCAAATCCATTGGTCTTCTTTGAGATTCTGAATACTCAGTTTGGATTTGAGACAGGTGATCCATTTAGGTGTAAAATAAAAAATATAACTAATAAAATAAAATAGACTAAAATGTTTTATATTAAATATAACAAGCTTAGGTTAAAATGTGGCATAAAGAAAATATAATAAATGTTTATACAAACACAAGTTAAAGTAAAACAATTAAATAAATAGATGCAATTATTTAAGCAAAAAATGAAATATAATGTAAATGTGGATATTACCATATATACCGTCTTGTGCTGTCTATGTTGGATTTGGATGCATTTTATCAGCATGTTTGTGTAATTTCTCTTATTGTTATTGGTGTTTCTCTTATTGTTGTTGGTTTTTGTGTGCCAGGTGGTTCTGCTGGGGATGGACATCCTGTCGGCGCTGGTCAGCAGACTGCAGGAGAGGTTCAGGACGCAGGTCGGCACAGGTGAGCTGCACCTGAGACATTATTTATTCATTAAATATATACAATACACAGATGTTAAATTACAGGAGTGATATAATCTATCTATCTATCGATCTATCTATCCCTCTATCTATCTTTCTCTCATCTCACCACTTTTGCACACATGAGATGCTTAATTGTCTTCAAATCTGTGTGTTTGTCTGCAGTTCTGCCGAGCCTCATGGACCGTTTAGGAGACGCTAAAGATCAGGTGAGGGAGCAGGACCAGGCGCTGCTGCTGAAGATCATGGACCAGGCTGCCAACCCTCAGGTGAGAGAGATCTACCTGCTGTACACACGGAAGCTTTAATACTGACTGTGGGAAAACACAGAATGTCCTCCTCCAACATGAGAGTCACTTGATAACAAAGGTATCAACTGTAGCTGTGAACATGACAGGATGTGTGATTACCTAGAAGAGCATCAGGACTGTTTGAGGCATATGATAGCTATGTGATTAACATGATGATTCAGCCTCTATGGAGAGAGACATATGACAAGCATGATCATTTCTGACGTGGAGCTAATCTGAAGTAAACATTGAATACTGCTTTCTATTCCTCCATCTTGTGACTGTGGAACTCCCTCTCTTGGATATCAGCATGTGAAGGACACTGTTCAGGAACTAGTTGATGCTCTGTATGTGATGACTACTTCCATTCTGGAGAGGATCACAGATACATGGATCCTGAGGTTCAAGCTCAAGCCAGTGATGAACCAGTGATGTTTCTCTAACACTGACAGACTATAACCTGTGTGTTCTCAGTTTGTTTGGGAGCGCATGATGGGAGGCTTCAAACACAAGAACAACCGCACCAGAGAGGGCCTCTGCCTCTGCCTCATCTCCACCCTCAACGTGTAAGAAAACAGCAAATCTTCACTTTTAAGAGGCTGGAGCTAATTCAATGCTTTAACAATAAATACTGTAACCATATATAAGTGTATGGAATACAATCTTGTTTTATTCAGTTTGTGCAGAAAGCAGAGATATCTCACCTCTACGATCTGAAAGGTGTTTTGATGAGAAGATATTTAGCAGAAATCTTCCTGTTTTGTTCAGGTTTGGATCTCAGAGTCTGACGCTGAGTAAGATCGTCCCTCACATCTGCAACCTGCTGGGAGACCCCACCAGCCAGGTACACACACACACACACACACACACACACACACACACACACACACACACACACACACACACACACACACACACACACTCTCTCTCTCTCTCTCACACACTGAGACT